TTTCCTTCCAACTCAGGAAAAACAAAACAAAACAAAAAGCATTTCTTTCCTTTTTGAAGTGCCGACAAAATTGGTTCACATAAGAAGATAGGACTAAAAAGGGTTATCTTATATAGCATTGTCCCTCAAGTCTTTGAATTGTCTGTTAAAATCACAGTTACCATTAAAAATTATATTTAGTGGCCAGAATGGTGGCTCAAGCCTGTAATCCCAGCACTTTGGGATGCTGATGTGGGAGGACCGCTTTAGCCCAGGAGTTTGAGACCAGCCTGGGCAACATAGAGAGATCTCATCCCTACAAATAATAATAATTTAAAAATAGCTAGTTGTGGGGACGAACGTCTATGGTTCTAGCTGCTCCGGAGGCTAAAGTCAGGGAATCGTTTGAGCCTAGGCTGTGGAGGATACAGCCCTTATCACACCAGTGCACTCCAGCCTGGGTGACAGGGCGAGAACCTGTCTTTTAAAAAAAAATATATATATATTGTTATCCCACAATTCGATACAAACCTCCTTCAATTTTGATGAAAGCTAAGAATTGGAAACCATTTATATAAAGGTGTTACTTGGTCTCAGGCCCTTCTCCCTCTCAAACACACAAGCACAGATACCTTTGGGGCTGGATTAGCATTTGCGTTGGGATCCACGGCGGGGAGTGGACAGGATAGGAACCAACAAAAACATAACCAAGCTGGTCTGGTTGATGCCTACCCTAGAATTCGGGGACATTTCTAGATCCTACAGGAAAGCGCCAGAGGGCCTGACTCAAGCTGGCCAGGCCCTTGGCGCATCTGCACGCCCGAAGCCCGTCCCTGGGGTACGAAGAGAGCAGCTTTCGGGTTAAAGGGGCCTCGGGACGAGAGGGTGCGGGAAGGTGGTTCCCGCTGGGCACTGACCAGGCTGCCAGGCCGCGGGGCTCGGTCCCGTAACATTCAGAATGTCTTCACTAAGACAGAATTGTACTTTTACTCGACAGCGTGAAGAGGCCGCTCAGAACAGCGGCAGCAGAGGGGAAGTCGGCTCAGGTCACAGACGGTTTCGCTCTCAGAGACTTGGCCTAGAACTTGGAGGCCCGCTACCCTGCGCACGCTGGTCACTCACTCCCCACCGCAAGCACTGCGCCGTTATCTGCCAGACTGACAGCTTGGCCAGCCAATGACCTTTGGGGCTGCCAAAGCCCCAGCCTCCGAGAGTTGGGCGGGGCGCAATGACAAACATTTAACCCAGTAGCGAAGAGATTTCAGACGCTACGGCCGCAACAACCAATGAGAAGAAAGAACCCTTTCGAAAGGACGTGTGAGGTAACCAATTGCTGGTGCCGCTGCGGGGGTCCCGTGGCTTCCGTTCCGAGAGGGCGGGGCAGCGTCCCAAAACGGAAGGTGGTTGTCGTCGGTGTCCAAGCTGGTTTGAAACTAGGGGTCGGGCTCGGCCGTCGTCGTTGTCTGTCGCCGCAGCTCCGCTTCCGGGGGTAGGCCGTTCCTGACCGCCTCCTCCCCTCCTCCCTTTGGACCCATCGGTCTCAGGCCCGGCTCCCCGCCCGACTCGCACCCCGCACGCCGCAGCCAGCTGTTGACCCGGCCCGCACTGCGGCCCCGCCGCCACCATGTCCCTGCACGGCAAACGGAAGGAGATCTACAAGTATGAAGCGCCCTGGACCGTCTACGCGATGAACTGGAGTGTGCGGCCCGATAAGCGCTTTCGCTTGGCTCTGGGCAGCTTCGTGGAGGAGTACAACAACAAGGTGGGCCGGGCAGGGGCTCGGAACCCAGCTGGCGGGGAGCGGGCCCTGGGAGCGCCCTTTCCGGGCCGGAGCCCAGGCCCCAGAACCCTCTTGCGGACTTGCCTTAGAGGCACGGAGCGGTTCCTCTGTCTCGCCCTGTGCTGAAGGTTTCGTACTCGTTGTCTGTCATTGAATCCAGGCAGCATTATTGTGTAGTCGACAGTGTAGTGGGGCAACTGAGGCACGGTTTTGTAACTTGCCTGGGTCAGGCAGCTATTTCGTGGTGGAAACAGGTCTCAAAACCACGCCGTTTATTCCTCCCGTGCCCTCCACTCCTGTGGCATTGCTTTCGTTGGTGGGCGGGGAAGGAAAGAGTGAGTGATATCTGTGAAAGAAAATGCGGGCGCTTCCATTGGTGGTCGTGCACTCCTGTCCACACTAGATTTCTATTAAGGCGATTTATTGTACAGGCTTCCCCGCCCCTTACTCCCACCCCCGGATACTCATGGATCCTAGCCCTTCTGCCAAAATTACTGTTGTTCTTGCTTCCTGATACGCATTCTCTGTAAAGCAATCTCTTTAGAAATCTTGGCCTGTGGCATGATCCCGCCATTGTTGGCTGAACAGAGGATGACAGGGCCTTATCTCTTGGTTTGTTTGATGCTAGTACAGTTGTGTAACTTGTAGTAGTAAGTCTTGCTGGACATCCATCAATCTGGGAATACTTTATAGAAGCACGGTGTAGAGAGGAGCTTTTAAACTGGCATTGCAACGTTAACTTATTTTTGAAAGTTGAAGTGGCAAGAATTTTCTTTCCGTTCTCTCTTCCTTTTATTCAGTTACAGTTGTGAATGATAGCGATCAGAGCCACTGAAAGCCGTGACTAGTGATACTTAAAGCCACTACTCCTGCTCTGTGCCATGAACATCAGATTTAAGAAGAATAAAACTGTGTTCAGTGACAAGGCTGATGCAGAGGGAAAAAAGCCAGGTGGTCTAGGAGTGGGTCCCGTGTGGTTATTGACTAGCTGTGAGGTGTTGCACAGGCCTGTTTTATTTTCTGTGACCCACAGTTTGTTGTAGGAAAGGGATTCTGGTTTACATGTGAAGGTCTTTAAAACAAATTTTTTTTGAACATTTCACAGTTTGTTTACAGTTTTTCAGGAGCACATTTGTGTCTCTGGAGTAGGTTGTCTTTGGAGTCCCCTTTAAGAAGCTGATGAAAGCGATGGACTCTCACTGTCTGTACATTACACATACATGAACAATTTATAAACAAATCTCAAGGAATATGCACTGATCTTTAAGTCCACCCACTTTATTTGCTTTCTCTGATGCTTCTTTCTTCCTTATGGCCCATAGTGGACAGCAGAACTGGGAATGGGATTCAAGGTTCTGATGTGGACACTGGGTTAGTAAAATTAAGACCACTAGAACTACTGTTTAAGGATACACACGGAAAAAAAAAAAAAGCATGTCTTTCAAAGGGCTTGAGTCTTTTCACACAAATTAATGTTTTTTTCTTCTAAGTTTTTCCAGGGTCATTGGGTAAGCAATAGTCCCATTTCCCAGAGAGGAGAAACTGAGCCATAGTTAGGCTGCTGGTAGAATCAGTGGATTAATTGGTGTCAAACTGCTGTTGTGGAAACTCTACCCCAAAGTTTGTCCTTTCGTTTAGCAACTGTCCGATGCTTCCTCTGTGCCAGGCGCAAAGGTAGCGTGGCTTAGTAGTGAAATGCAAACTAATAATGCCAGTATCGACAGCATAAGCAATTAACTGTATCTTAACTCACGCGATGTAGCCAGTGGTCATCTGATACCAATAGACCCCTTCTCACAGCTCTGTTTTCAAATGCATGAAACAGATAGGGTTACAAAAGAAACCACTTATGTTGCACTACAGATATAAACATTTTTTAAAAAGTGGTGATGTAGTCATATGTACTTTTAATAAATTAACTCATTGATTTATACCATCCAGTGTAATTGTTAACATAATTTTGAAGTGGTGACAAGGGTTACCAGGTTTTCAAGACGTTTAACAATGGCTCTGTGATGGGAAAAAATATTTCTCTTGCTGGCAAAGTCACAGATATTCATGCCACGGTGAGTAGCTAACTCGATTTGTAATTGAAACAAAAAATTAGCTAGAGATTAATGGAAATATGATACTTTTCCAATTCAAGTTCACAGACCCCAAGTTAAGAAACCCTGCGAGAGAGGATTGTGTCTAGTAGCTGGTGGGCAGCAAATCCTGCCTTCAAGCAGTGATTCTCAGGCTAAGTTTGTGAGAAACCCTGCCAGAGAGGTAGCCGACTTCATAATTTGAAGGAACTTTAGAATTATTGATTGGAATTTTTAGACCATCGGTTCCTGCTTGCCATGGATAGTGATTGCCAGCAGAGGACAAAGTAAATGGGCACAGCAAATTAACATTGATGAAAAAGGCTAGAAATGTTCATCTTTTTAGTGTGGAGACAGTCACTAAAAAAACATGGTTATAATTTTTAAAATTTGGTATTAACATAATCATGTTTTCCTAATTCTTCCTAGTTGATTAATAGAATTAAGTCTATTAACATTTTAGGAAATTGAATTCCAGGCGTTCCTTCATGTGAATAAATTTGGGAACCGTTGTCAAGTAAAGAAACAGATTCTATCAACTACACCTGTAATAAAAAGCCCCATTATAGGGCTAGGCATGGTGGCTCACACCTGTAATCCTAGCACTTTGGAAGGCTGAGATGGGAGGATCACTTGAGTCCAGGAGTTTGATACCAACATGGAGAAACCCTGACTCTACAGAAACATTAAAAAATTAGCTGGGCATGATGGCGTGCGCCTGTAGCCCCAGCTACTTGGGAGGCTGAGGTAGGAGGAGGATTTGAGCCCAGCAGGCAGAGTTGCAGTGAACCAAGATCATATCACTGCACTTCAACCTGGGGCAACAGAGCCAGATCCTGTCTCAAAAAAAAAAAAAAGCCTCATTATTGGCTATTATCTTTCTACCTTCTTTTTTTGTGGTCTCTTGAGGGATAAAGCAAGATTGGTGTTTAGAGCAACAGGTTCTCTAAATTTTAGTGTGTGAGAATCCCCTGAGGGACCTGCACATGCCTGGGCTCCACCCCTGAAGTTAACAGACTTGCAGATAGGTGACAGACACACTAGTGGTCACCTACAGTAAATCAGATACAAGAACTTGGCATTTCTCCTCTGTTTTGACAATGTCGTTGGTCTTTAGGCCCAGGTGTTATTTCCCTTCTTTTATTAGGAAAAGATGGGTAGCAGTTCCTGAGCTTCTATTCCACTTAAGTGCATGTTTCAGGGTTGGTTTTGAGTAAAGTTGTGATTGGGATTAAGTTTGCCCCAATATTTAACTAACTGACTACTTGTGCTCAAAGATTTAGCATCCAGAGAATATTTTTGAGGTTCTGAGGGTCTATCTGATGTTCTTTGGAGAATCCTGGTAGTCTGGGTGGCATGACCACCTAGTACTTGATACACGTGGGATGGATGCTTGCCTCGTTAGCCTGTTTTGATTCCTCTGAGATTTTTAATACAATTATTTTTTATATTTGTTGCATAATTATTTCAACTCTGGTATTTAATTTTTCATCCTGGTATTTGCAATAGCCATTTAGGGTTATCATTCATTTGCTCATTAACTCAGCCAATGTGTATTGAACACATACTCATGTGTTTTAGGCACAGCGATGATACTGGGGAACTGTCTGTGGCTTTGTTAGTAGGTGTGAGATTGGCAGGAGTAGAGACAATGTGTTTTAGTGCACATCAGTACTTTTGATAGATATTTAGAATTTTGCAGTGTTCCACCAGTCCCTGTCAAGACTGTCAGCAGGGGAATTTAAGACATAAAACTCTTCAGGTTTTAACTTCATCCTTTTTCTAGACAGAGAACTCATTCCCCTTTGCAACCACTGGATAAAAGTGATAATGCCTTTTTAACACCTGCTGCTTTATTGCTATTTGTCCTAATCTTGTTCATATAGAATTATTGGAGATGCTGTCACTTGAACAAGGAACGAATCTGTGCTCTGTAGGTAGCCTGGCTTGCCTAAGGTCTTGCTGCCAGAGCTCTCTGGTCAGCTTCTGACCCACGAGCCAAAGATGTGCTGTGCCAGAATTCATCTTAAAGGTTAATAGGGCAGGACTCGGGTACCTGCAGGCAGTGGTCCTCGGTAATCAGTCAGGAAGAAGCTTGGAGAGAGAACAAATAGAAAAGACCAAGAAAAGCTAGTATATAGTCTCAGAATATTGTGTTAGCCGATTTTTGTTTTATTAACAATTGTGGGAAAATGTTCCAGTGACTAGAGTATTATGTTGATTTGAATAACTTGGGAGTTTATTTTAAAAATTACATATACACACACAGATTCACCTTCATCTTCTGCACTAGCACTGT